TATTGACGAAGTGTACATATTTTGGGAGAATATGGGAGTTCCTTTGGGCGACGTTCTTTTTTCTGAGTGTTGGGAGGAGGAAGTTGGGTGAGAAGCGTCACGAGTAATAAAAGTTTGTTTATTTAATTATAGTTCAATGTACTTTGGCATCTTATGATAAAATACGCTGCATTTCTGGTGTTAATTACACATCCAATTAGTATAATGTCACGTACAAAGGTTACGTTGATGTTTGTTCGAGGGTCAAGAGTGCACTGTTCGATCTTTAAGTTATCTACTTATAATCGAAACACTTAACGCGCTAAATACTGGAGCTAAAATNGGACGATCGCACTGCATATAGGCCTTCAGAACAGAGGGTAAAACAACATTTTTCTTTTCATAATTTGGTAGTACTGTGGGGAAATTGATTGTATTTTGCCGGTCTGACTCAAGAGCGTGATTTTGCACCACTCCCAAAATATTATCACAGAATTGAATCCCACGCGAAGCATATTTCTCTGTGTTGTGTTGTGTTGTGTTGTGTTGTGTTGTTTAGGACTTGCAGTGGTTCGACCCCACGTCTAGGCTAAACATCGAAGGAATAAACGTCTTTGCAAATTACATACAAATGCCGTATGTGTACTGCTTTCTTTCCTTCCATCCTACAGTATAAATGGGGACCCAAAAAATGTATACACTTCAACGTACAAAATACAGTGCGTTCAGTTAAGGAGGAAACTTCGCAACACCGCTGACCTGGCCCAACATTCCTCACAGATTGCTGCTGTAACTGCTGATAGCAAAATGAGTCATTGGCGCTGATAAACGTGCGCAGTTACAGTTACAGCAGCAATCTGTGAGGAATGTTGGGCCTGGTCAGCGGTGTTGTCAAGTTTCCTCCTTGATGGAACATCCTGTATTTAACTCGAGGCACAAATTCTGTGTCATAGAGTACGACATGTTGCAGCAATATGGATCCACATTAGCAGTTCAATGACTCTAGAAGTATTCTTATATCACTGCCTGATGATGGTCCTATAAGACGGAAACACGTAGCAGGAAATAAATATTCAATGGTTAAATATTGATTGATTATAAATCACTTTGTTGTGGCGACCGTTAAATAACCATATATGTATGAAGATAACATCAGAAATGTTAAGAACTGTTTCGTCTACTGATGCGTACATGTCTTAATACATTAATTATATATTTCTGTACTATAAACTGTAAGTTACTTTTCGAACATATCAGAAGTGTTTAAATTAATTTCCTTTGTGATTTTAATAAATTTATATAGGTTATAAAAACTTAAATTTGAGAATAAACTCTTTCATAAATTCCACACTAATTGTCGCTAGCCTATAACATTATTAGATTCAAAGCGACGGAACTAATTATATTGTTGTGGAGACTAACAGAAATCCTATAACTGATAACTCAATTATTTATTCTTGTTTATGCACGTGATCTCTCTCTCTCTCATTTCTTCCTCATATCAGGTCATTGACTTTGGCAGGCTCGAATTTCCTGTCATAATACAAATAATTTTGTCAATTAAGATGCCTTTTAAATACCGTACTTTAATTTCTGTCTGTATGCAAAAAAAAAAAAAAGCACCACTTCTTTAAGATAAGACATGACGGCTGTTTGAAATTCTGATTAATGTATAATGTAGCGGATTTCGAGGCACAGTTGTTGGATATGTGTTGGACAAATCTAGTTCAGTTTCTCCTGGCTGTGGTTCCACGGATTTCACACGCTCTCGCCAATGTCAGAGAAGGCAAACAAACTCAGCATCTATCACTAATCTACTTCATTGTGTACCAAGGCATATATAAACAAAAATTCGGAAAGCGAATCCTCATAGGCTTCCCGCTGAGCTTTTCAGAGGAAACTGGACTCAACGTAGCGGTTTTCCTTTTCTACCCCATACCTTTATTTCCTTCTGTCTCGTCTGCTGCGGAATGTCCTGCTTTCGTGTGCAATGTTGTCATTATTCTTGATCTCTCTTCTCACTGGAAGAAATGCGGTGAACGTCATCTGTGAACTGCCTCCCGGACATACGTATTGTGACTCAATTGCTAGGTTTTCTTCCCTTTATTAATCAGTGTCATGTAAAAGAAAATTGATGCACTAAGAGCCATTCGTGTGGTACAAAATAAATACATTTTAAATATTCTTTTAAACTTTCGTACTGGCATTCAAATATCCGAACTGAGATTCAATTATTAATATATTTACTGTACTGTAAGAATACATAATGAGGAGCTTCATAACTTGTACGCTTCTCCAAGTATAATTAGAATGATCAAGTCAAGGAGGGTGAAGTGGACAGGGCACATAGGTTATTGGTGGGAAAGCCAGAAGGAAAAGACCACTGGGAAGAACAAGGTGTAGGTGGGTGGACAATATTAAAATGGATCTTAGAGAGATAGGATGGGATGTTATGGATTGGATTGATCTGGCTCAATATATGTACCAGTGGAGGGATTTGTGAACACGGTAATGAACCTTTGGGTTCCATAAAATGCTGGGAAGTTCTTGAGTAGCTGCAGAATTGGCAGCTTCTCCAGAAGGGCTCAGCTCCGTATGTAAGTACTGTAAAAATAATTTCATTCTAGAGGATTCTGACGATGGCGTACAGAATTCGAAATTGCTTTGTTTCTGGATTTTGTCCATATTATAAAGAGAAAATAACGTTTCGGAAACTGGAGCTGTTTCCGTCCTCAGGTGAAAATGTGATAAAAACATACACAGTTTGGTCCGTTACAAAGGGCTAACCCAATCAACGGACTACATTTTCGCCTGGGTAAAAGAGGAGATCCAGTATTCGAAACGTTGCCTACTTTTAAGAACATAAGATGATGCAACAATTCCAGGCACTGAGCAATTTCAACTGTAATAATAATGTGTTTTGTGGTATTCTGACCGTCAACACAGCAATAAAAGTAAACTAATCGAATTGTTGACGCTGGTTTCGTTTAATAACTGCTATTGGGTAGCTTGTTAACAGATGATGGAAGGTGTACTAGTGAAATTAAATCCAGGATTGCCATGGCAAAAGCTGCATTTAGCAAGAAGAAGAATCTTTTTACCAGCAAATTGGACTTAAATTTGAGGAAGAAACTAGTGAAATGCTACATTTGGAGCATAGCTCTGTATGGGGCTGAAACATGGACACTTAGGGCAGTAGATCAGAAACATCTGGAAAGTTTTGAAATGTGGTGTTGGAGAAGAATGGAGAAGATCAGTTGGACCGATTATGTGAGAAATGAAGAAGTGTTAATTAGAGTCAGTGAGCAGAGGAATATCCTACACGAAATAAGAAAACGGAAGGCTAATTGGATTGGTCATGTTTTACGCAGAAACTGCCTTCTAAAAGAAGTTATCGAAGGAAAGATAGAGGGGCGGATAGAAGTGACAAGAAGACGAGGAAGAAGACGTAAGAAGATGCTGGATGACCTTGGGGACAGAAGAGGATACTGTCATTTGAAGGAGAAAGCTCTAGATCGCATTAAATGGAGGAATTGTTTTGGAAGAGACTGTGGACCTGTCGTCTTGACAGATTACTGATGATGATGATGGTATGTTTCGGTCCACATTGTTTACCATCTTCAGGCAGTTTCGTTATAAATACATCTAGTGCTACTGAAGTATCCTAATACGAATCCATATTAATGTTAATCGTTATACTCATAAAATGCATGTAACTATTATGAAGTTCTAAAAATATTTCTAATTTAAAAATACTAAAATTCTCTCATCGTTATGATGTAAAATTCTGTTATTTTTGTCGCTCATTGTAGGAAGTGTCTTATCATCCGAGGTTCGTTATCGCATTATCTGTAAGTAAAATACAATGTGGTATTTACTTCAAAATAATACAACAATGAACCACATGGTATTTTACTTCCAGATAATATAACAGCGGACCCCGAATAATAAGACATCACCTAAAATTCGGGACAAAGTAACATAGAATGTTAAATCAATGTCATTCTCATGTAAAAGATTCGTGCGTGGGTGGGTGTATGACTTTCATACCAAAATTCGGTAAAATCGGTCAATAACTTGATCAAAATTTACAGGTATGACACACAGACTGGGTGGTATTTTCTCAAGCTTACTCTCTTTCATTAAGGAAGGAAAATAGCCTTAAATCAGAACAAAATATATAAAAATATTAATATAGCTCTGTCTTTCTGTAGAATTTGTACCAGGAATTATTTTCGCAGGAGTAAAGCGACCGAGACGTGAAGCTGGCCATTCATCTCCATCTAGTGCAAAGGTTAAGAATGTATGGAGCTATTTCTCCCTTCACCCATCTCACTTGTTGGCGTGAAGCTTAATATATTTAATACATCTCAAAGAAGTTATTTCTAAAAGAACGTTTCTTGGAATTCTGAGAAGCTGTATAGTGTCATTGCGGTGTTTGCGTGTACTTCTATGTAAAATTACATCTAGGAGTCTTAAAAGTATACTGCATACATTTATTCCGAGTTCAGAAAGAAACTGTGGTATTTGTGGAGCTGCTCTCTCTTCAGGAATGTGTTGTTGTGTTTACGTGTGTTTCATATGAAATGTTGAGTAGTGCTTGTTGGTGGTTTTCCTACACCCTTCCTACTGTTTGTGCTACCGATGACGTGGGGGCTTCTCAAGTCCCACTTGTCCGTTAATTTATTCAGAAACTTTTTCCTGTTACATATATTGCATAATACCGAATGGGAGAATGTTTATTATGAATTACGAAGGATATGGAAGGAAGGGGTATTTGCTTAATTTAAAATACAACAGCAGTATTTCCTGGAAATGCTGAAAAAAAAAATAACGAAAAAATCAGTCACAACTTCCTTCCTTTAGAGCGGGAACCGGGCCCGGGACTTTCGAATACGTAACATGAATGTTAAGTGCAAAACCGTGACTCTTGGTGAATATTATCGAGAACTTAAAACAGGTTTTTTTTAAAAGAGCAAGGTCACTCGTGATGAAGACAGGCAAGTTTTCGCGTGTGTTTGTGCTATGTTATCATAAAACCTGTTAGTAGTTGAAATAATTGTACAGTAATGATAAGACAAGTACAATTAATGAGGTCAAGTATTCAGTAGGCTTCATTGTAGCGGGTCTCTCTCACTTGCCTCCCCACCTATCGGCGTTAGAGGGACGCTAGGGCACAAGTTGCACACTGATAGTGACAGTGGACAGACCTGATGCAGTTTGTCTGTGTTCTTCAAGCTGTACGGAAGTGTGACCATTTTAAACGAAGACCTCTCACGGAGTCACCTGGGTAAGAGTGTGATATTGCAAATCACTGACAATTTTACGTATTCATAGGTAGAGAAGGAATATATTTGCATGGGATCTCAATACGTGTAGAATAATAATTTATAGTATAATGATTTTAAGTTGTGGCTTTCATGAATAATATTACTGCATTTTAAAACAAACACTTATAAATAAATAGTTATAAGATACATTTTGAAGAATTAATTTGAAATAAATGATATTAAGAAGTTCAGTTCGTAACCCGTAAAATTATGCAGCATCATTGTTGCATTTTGTTTAGTGAAATAGGAGCTGTTATGGTGAGAAATAGCAACTGGCTACGGGCTGGACGACAGAGGGTTCGGAGTTCGAGTCCCGATGGGGGCAAGAATTCTCTCTTCTCCAAGTCGTCCAGACTGGTTCTGGGGTCCACCCAACCTCCTAGCCAATGGCTACCGGGGTTAAAGCGGCAGGGGCGTGAAACTGACCACTCACCTCCAACTAGTGCCGAGGTCAAGAAAATGTGGATCTATATATTCACTCCTCCCATAAGCCTTCATGACGTAGTGCTTAATTAGTTAAGTACAGAGGCAACTTTTTTTTTCTGTGGCGCTACAGCCCCAATTTGGGCCTAGGCCTACCTCCATGAAACTTTCCGTTTCACGTCGGTTTACTAGATCTTACACATTCGGTAGGACTCCTTGGGCGAGTGGTCAGCTCGTCGCAAGGCCTCTACCTGTAGACAAAAACAGAAAAACGCACACTAACGTCCATGCCCTGAGTGGGATTCGAACCCGCTCAGCTACTATGACCGGCATAGCAATTTATACCAATAAGAATGTGCATACATGTTTCATTAGTGGAAACCAATGCAAAAGATACCAATAGCAAGTATAATATTTTTTGGTTCCATTAAGGCTGGAATTAAGGGCCGCGTCATAGCTCAAGCGGTTAGTCGCTGGCTTCCCACCGCGGAGGCCCGGGTTCGATCCCGGGTCTGGACAAGTGGGATTTGTGGTGGAAAAAGGAGCGCTGAGGCAGGTTTTCTCTGAGTACTTCGGTTTCCCCTGCCAATCTTCATTCCACCAATTGCTCCACAATCACCCCCACCTATCATCTGGGGCTGGTACAATAGGTCAGAAGTGTCCGCAGTACAAGGGACTTACTCCCACCCCACTAGCAATAAAATAAATGGCTGGAATTTCTTGGACAGCTAATCAACTTTTTCAAAAAGTATTTCCTTCCATGAATTTGGTCACTTACTGTCAAACAGTGACGTATGCTCTTTATATAATGATGGGTATGAAAGGGTGTGATCCACCCAACATCCTTCTCATAGCGTGCAATTCACTGCGACATTGTCGCCCGGAGTGACAAACAGTTGCATCAGTTTACATATGTTTACCTGCACTAACACATCCTTATGGAAATAAAATCATAGAACAGCCATTGAACCTGGTCCCATTGTGTACATATGTTTCAGGACCTTCATTTTAAGTTTTCTTTATATGACGCATAATGTTACACATATTGAAGACCTTGACTGAGGTGAAGGCTGTTGGTCTGCAGTGAGAGAGTCTGTTGTAGTTCTTACCAGAGCGGATGATTACTTCCGCTTGGAGTTCCGATTGTCAACAGACAGAAATACCAATGAAAGGAGAGAAATATTGATCGGCTTTTCGTATACACAGCTGTTGTACCTCCGGATTTCGACATATTTGTTTTATATTCATTTACTCACTCATGGAGCTGAGCCCTTCTTGAGGAGCCGCCAAATCTGCAGCCACTCAAGAATTTCCCAGTATTTTATGTAACCCGAAGGTTCATCACCGTGTTCACAAGAGCCCTCCACTGGTCCCTATCCTGAGCCAGTTCTATCCAATCAATAACATCCCATCCTATCTCTCTAAGATCCATTCTAATATTGTCCACCCACCTACGTCTTGGTCTTCCCTGTGGTCTCTTTCCTTCTGGCTTTCCCACAAATATCCTATACACATTCCTCGTCTCACCCATTCGTGCTACATGACATGCCCACCTCATCCTTCTTGACTTGATCATTCTAATTATACTTGGAGAAGAGTACAAGTTATGAAGCTCCTCATTATGCAGTTTTCTCCAAACTCCTGTCACTTCATCCCTCTTGGGTCCAAATATTCTCCTCAGCGCCCTG